CGGGCGCGGGTCGGGGGCGGGAGGCTCGGCTGCCCCTGCCCCGCCTCCTCGTCCTCCCCGCTGCGAGTCGGCCGCCCTCTCCCCGGCTCCTCCTCCTGCTCTTGGGGCTGCCGGCGGCGGCAGGAGGGCGGGAGCAGCGCGCGGTCCGGAGCGCGGGGACGGAACGCGGCGGCGGTGAGGACGTGCGGGTTTTGAGGAGGGAGCGGGCGGGCTGTGAGGAGGGAGCGGGCGGGCTGTGAGGAGGGAGCGGGCGGGCTGTGAGGAGGGAGCCGGCGGGCTGTGAGGAGGGAGCGGGGGAGCCGGCGGGCGCGGCGGGCAGCTGAACCCCATCCCAAGCGACGCTCCGTCCCCGCGTGTCCCTGCCGGCGCCGCTGAGTCCCGGGCCGGCTGCGCTCCCGCGGGCGGGAGGAGGCGGCCGCGAGTGGAGATCCCGCCCGGGCGGGCGAGGGACGGGCGGTGTGTGCTGGCTCCTGGATGGGTTTGCCTTTCTTTTCCTTTCTGTTCGGTGGTCCGGGGTTCTTTGAACTGAGCAAAGCGGTAGCCTTTTTCTCAGTCCGGTTCAGCGTCTCTACGGGAGATCAGCAGTTCTGTGCAGGGCGCGAGCGAACCGCTTCGCGACAGTCAAGGGAGCCTGGAGCAAACCTGGCCCCTGTCCGCCCGCTTCCTGTGCCTGTGTCTGCCTGTAGGAGACTGTCGGCAGCCCTCATGGAAAGTAGAACCAGTGTGTGGCGCCCACGGTGCTAGAGGGGACGTCTGTGACCTGCACACACTGTCCCGGCCTCGCCCAGGGGCAGAGGGCTCCACCCTGCCCTTTTTGAGAAAAGATCGGATGCTAATTTCTTTGGTGGCTTTTCTTGATATTCTTGGTTCTTTTTTATTGATTCTCTTAAAAATTACTCCTTTTGAAATTTAAGAGATAGAGAACACCTGTTAGTGGGAAGAATGTTTTAAAAATGGGGAAGAGAAAAACCGAGATTGCTTTTTCTCTTCTCTGCCAGACTGATGGGCTTTGTTATTAGTCTGTGTTCAAAACCTGATTCTGACAAAGTAATACCAATAAAACACTATTTTATAACAGTATTTACTGCTACATGGTCACACAGAACAAACTGCATGGCCTGTATTTGCAGCCCCACTGCAAACTTTTTATACTAGGAAGATGGCATTGTGAGTTGGAGAGGAGAGTAGGCAGGGGAGCCATTTGTCTCCAGATAGTCCAATTAGGAAAAATAATTACATTGCAAATGAACATCTATGATATAATTTGAGTCATGATGTATGAAGCAGTAATTTGTCTATAGGAAGGAAGAAGGGTCTTTGTGGATTAGAGCAAAGTTTTGCCTTCTTTAAAAAGTAATGTACACTGTTTTACCCGTGTATGTGTGCTGAGATGATTCTATGACGCCTGCTGAGAACAACCATGTGTGGATCTGAATTACAGAGGTTTTGCACTACACAGGGCTTGGATAGTATTGGGATGAAAAAATCCAAGGTGGGAGATGATAGTAAAACATTATGCTGAAAATTACATACCATATAGAATATACTTTCATGAACATTGTATGCAGCTTGCGAGCTTCTTTACTACAAAATTGAAGAGACTCAACTTCAGTCTGTTGAGTTCCCAGATGTGCCATATACTACCTGAACCTTGGGCTATTGCTCTCAGCCTTAGTTTCTGTATCTGTATAGTTCAAGTCAAAGTGTCATCTTGAGGATTAACTCATTGCTTTTGTAGAAGACTTAGGAGAGTTCCTTGCACTGAGTAAGTCCTCAGAAAATGTTAATGACATTATGAGTAGTACAAATGCCCAGGGAAAAGGGGATGCAAGGATACTTGATAACAGAGCGAGTGACTCTGAGTTGAGACTGTACCCATGCCCATGCTAGTCTGCACCCGAGCATACATGGTCTTTCTAAAACTTGCAAACTGCATCCTTTTGGCTCCTTTAGCCTTCTCTGTGCCACGATTTCCAGGGAGGATGTCATATAGGCTCTGTGTGGGTCTGAGGCAATACATGTGGTTTATAATTCCAGGCCTGACTGCCCCTTGCAATAATAGATTCTTGTGTCTCAAGTCCCTCCAAAGTGAATATTCAGGTTTTATTTGAAAAACAAAGAAAAACAAAAACAACTATAGTACAATAGGGGACATGTTAAGCAGCTTTCTTGGGAATCCTAGAATCAATGTTTTACTCAGCTTAGTATGCTCAGAAAAATACAAATAGTAAGTATCTAATCTCCAAAAAACAACTTTAATGTATGACTTGGGGTTAGTGATCCTTAGAGGAAAGTGAAGAAAAGATACTTGTAGCAGAGCAATATTTCTTGAGCAGGGCAACTATGTTGTGGTTTGCTCCTTCTAATTTAGGGACATACCTGTTCATTCATTCATTCATCCATTCATTCTTCCCGTCATTCATCAGGTACCTGGCTCTATTTTGGACTGTGGTAGTACAGCATAAACCAAAAGCAAGCCTCTGCTATTGCAGAGGAAAATTCTGGTGGGAGAAACAAGCTGTGTGTGCCAGAGGACCTCTGTAAATCCTGGATACTCCCATTTTGACTGAAAAGAATCTGCACAGGGAGACCAGTATGTTGGGTGTACTTTCAGTCTATGAGTCAGTCTCTTCTGAGGGAGATGATCTGGCAGAGGCTGGGGGTGATTATAGTGAGTCCAAAGGGTCCTCCGTAAAGATGAGAGGACTATTTTTTCTTGTGCTTTATAAAAAGATATATCCATACATTGAATAATGGCTGAGTAGAACCACCATCCAATGAAACAGATAGTTGTACACGCAGTAAAAACAAACAGCAGTATAGAGGTGAGACCTCTGAATTTTAGAAAGCCAAAGAAAGAACAAAGATAGGATCTGATCATCAAGTTCTAAAGCCAGGGGATAGTTTCATCTGGCTCTGAAATACTTGATTCTGTCATTGTAGAAGGTATGAGAAAGCAGAGTGGACACTTCATTCCTCATGTACCTTCAAGGTGACTAAAAGTTTCTCTTTCATCCTTTCAATAGGCCTAACAGGATAATCAAGGTGGTGTTTTTTCCTTAAAATTATGATAATACCTAATTCAATAATAATGCATTGGTTTAGTGTCTAGAAGGATTGAAAAGGTGCTCACAGGCACTGTTGCTTGGACTACAGTATGCTGCAGTTCCTAAGGGTGTAGGGTCTTCTGTGTTGAGCTGAGCAATCTGAAGTCTACCTTGATTGCTGTGTGAAAGGTGGATTTAGCAAGTGAATGTGGAGGTCGCACTGCTGTAGAAGAGCTCTGTGGCCACAAGGTGAACTGGATGACAGAATGCTGGGGGACAAGATGAGCTGGGGAGCAGTGCCTTGATGTAGGTTTGGAAAGGCAACTGCACTGCCTATTCATCTTCTAGGGTGGCCTTCCCAACAGGAAATCAGCTAGTACTGGAGCTGGACATGGCACTTTGCCTGAGATAAGTAGTTGTAGAAACTCCAGTTGGAACGGATAACCAGGAGTAATGATTTCAGTTGAAATGAAAACTAACCTATGAGCCTTCCAGTGGGAGATGTTCAGTTCAGCACTGGATATAGAAGCAGGAAGAGAGGTTGGAGCTAGAGATGGAGGGAAGAAGTTCTTTTCAGAGTAGTGAGAACTGGTTTCAGAAAGGCCTCCCTCTGTTGTCTGGTTTGTGGAGTTTTACTGAATCATGCTGGAGGTGAGAGTCATGTGTGTCTTTGTGACTAAAATTTTCTCTTTCATCCTTTCAACAGACCTAATAGGATAATCAAGCCCTTGACCTTGGCCTCAGATGGACAGGCCCATATGGTTGTTATTCTGCAGACTTGGTGGAATCTGCTCTGTTACTTTGGACTGAAATAGTTAAAGGAATGTGCATAAAACTGTTCTGAATGTTTGATAGCCAGGATATGTAATTGATAAAATCAAGTCCACCCCCGCCATGTGTTACGATCTGAATTTTTGTGTCACATGTTGAGTCTCTATCCCCTTATGTTATGGTACTTGGAGGTAGGGCCTTTGGGAGGTGATGAGGTTGAGATGAGGTCCTGAGAGTGGGACTCTGTATGAAATGGGATTAGTGTTCATATGAAAAAGGCACAAGAGATCAGGACTTGCCATCTGGGATCACAGCAAAAAGCTACTGTCTGCAAGCCAGGAGGAAGGCCCTTAAGAATCAAATCTGTAGGCACATGATCTTGGACTTTTTAGCCTACTGACTACTTCTTAGCTTACTAAGTGGAAATAAGTGTGTGTCTATTGAAGCCACACTCTGTAGTATTTTGTTACATAGCATCCTGAACAGACTAACATCCATATGTTGCATGTAAGAAAACTGTTAAGATGACTTGATTCACTTGCTGAGGATATAAGTGAGATTGATGTGCATCTATACAATACTGAACACAGCTAAAGAGGTGTGTTACCTGCATGTTTTCTTAGTCTAACCTTAATGGCATCAACTAGGTCAAGATAAACACTCACTTTTGACTTTGAGACTTAGAAGGTTAGTTAAGAGGACCTCAGTGTATTTTCACTTTTCCTCCTATAGGTTGGTTCTGATTTTGATTTAATACCATATTTTATTAATTAGGTGGTTTTTTTGGACATTATTTAAAAAATATTTCTAAGACTTCAGAGGTGTTTATTTGGGGATGAACTTTTGAGGTTTAATCAAACTAACTTATAAAACTCCTCACATCGTTTCCTATACACAGTTATGATACTGGAATGAAGAACTTTGGGTATTTCAGGGGTTCATAAAGAACAACATTGAACATTACTGAGGTGACACTGGTGTTGTAACAGTTCTTTCTTTGTGCCATCTTTATAAGAAAAGGTTCAACTAGGTGTAGCCAGATTGTCTGGCTTTTGGCTGCACAAGGATGATATGTTGAGGATTTGTAGCCCAGGCTGATGGAGCAAGAGTGTTAGAGCACTTTTAAATCTCTCCATTTGTAGGTTGAATCTCTCTGATTCTAAAAGGATTCCTCATGGGTAGCAGCTCCATATTTCCAGTTCCCAAGTCTTCATCTCCACCTGCTCTGCACACCCTTTCTCCTCAACATGGACTTCTGTACTGCAGAGAGCAGTGTGGACTTTCTTAGTCTCTGTACTAGAAGAACTAACTTTCTATTGCCCCAAGTGATGAGATTTATTTACCTCCTTTTTGAGC